AATATGTTCAGCTGATTTCTATAAGTTGTTGATTTTTATTATTTATTTGTTAGCTTTATTAGTTGTTACTCTTAAATATTGGTTACTAAATATAAAGTGTAATTGTTAAATATAGTTATTAGGTGTTACTCTTAAATATTAGTTGTTGAGTATTAGTTGTTGAATGTAAAGTGTAGTTGTTAAATTTGGATAACAGTTGTGAAACTTAGTGGTTAGTTGTTGAATGTAAAGTATACTTGTTAAATTTAGGTAAAAAATGTGAAACTTAATTGTTATTATTATATTTAAATATTAATCGTTGAAATTAATATTTAATTGTCAAGTTTAGTGGTTTGTTGTTATGTTCAAATAGCAATTGTTGAAATTAATGTTTAGTTGTTAAGTTTAGTTAATAGTTGTGAATGTTATATTTTATCTATTAAATGTTTTCTTTAAGTCTTTTTATGATATCATTTTATAGTTTCATACAGCTATGGTACCTTCAACTAACAGGGATAAAGAAGTTTGACTTTCACCTTTCTCGAAGATTGAAGAGACCCCCAGAGCAACCAAGCATGAAGTTAGAAAGGATAAGAAAGAAAAGTTTGAAAGACCACGAAGAGTTGAGAGACCAACAACTTCTAAAGAAGGAAAAATTTGAAGTTGATAGACAACATAATGAGAAGAAGAGGAATATTAAGGATAAGAACAATAACCACCAAATTGAGAAGAAGAGAAATACCAAGTCTAAACATGGTTGGGTAAGCTTTTTCATTGTTAACTTTAGGTGTTAAACATTATACGATAGTTGTTAATGTTATTTAGTTGTTGTAATGATATTTGTTAGTTATTAAGGTTAGTTATTTTTTGTTAAAGTTTTAATAACTCTGTTAGATGTAGTTGATTCTGATAAACTATTTTGATATCATCTCACGTGATTGCACAGACTATTGATGGAGTCATAGAAAACAATGATGAAATAGAGACATTAAGTGTACATGCATAGCCGAAGTGTTGGAAAAATATAGCAACGATGAATCAGAAACTTTATTATGTTATAATTCATGAGAAAAATCAATAAATTTCTACATACATGAATGAAATCTATCGCTTTAGCAAGATTGTAAAGGCTTACAATCCACTTTTATAGTGAAAACACCTAAATACGTTAATTTGCTGATCATTGAGCAACGACATGGGTGGCCACATGCAAAAAAATTGAAATCGATAAACATATATCTAAGGAGTTGAAGGAGTTGATGGAGATAGTAGGAGATTAGAAAGTAATTTTGCCGATGTTGTAGATGAAGAGATTGAAAAAGGACTTGATGGAGTGGAGGGAGTTGATGGAGTAGAGGACGAAAAGAATGAAAAAGCTAAGGAAGGAAAGAATGGAAAAGCTGAATCTCCGAAGTTGACTTTTCGTGGTTTTGTGCAAAATAGGAGGAGAGAAAAAACAACACAGTTGCATCATTCCGAAGACCACCAAGTAAAAGACATCATAACCATCCCAAACATGTTTCTACACCATTTGCTGAGGATAAGAAGAAGGGGGAACAAAATTAAGAATAAAGAAGGTTTAGTAAAAGAAAACATTATCGTAAAATTTAAGTAAGATGTTCATGAACCCAAGAATAATAACTTTGCTTCGCCTCTTAGTTTCAATGCTATTTACTAAGGACAAGAAAAGGGGGGGGGGGATTAAGAATAAATCTAAATTATTAGATGACTTGAACAAAGAAATTCCCTTCGCGAACAACTTTCAGGTACGTACTTGTGATGAGAGTGGGACCTTTGTGCACAAGATGAAGTTGTTGTACCTTTTAGATTGAATTTCAGAAGGATTTTCAATTTCTTTGTTGCTTCTAACTTGAGGCTCATTAACTGGGTTGAGGAATTAATATGTAGGAATATCCCATCATCAGTTGTTGTGTTGGTAATCATGCAATATAAAACTTTCTGACATTATGAAGGATGGGTAAGAAGAGAGGATGAAAAAAGAGGACTTATAATCGCCAAGAGAAAATTGATAGAAGACTTGAATGAGGCTGAAGAAAATAGATCCATGTCTTTTGATAAGGTAGGTAAGATCTACGAAGAGAAAGAGAAGATATTTTCCCTCCAAAACACAAATCTAATCAGCATTAAACGCTAACCATCATTACAGCGGAAGAGAGAGAGAGAGAGATTCGACCTTTTCATTGTATTCTCCATGATCAAATACATGGGTGTTCTCGAGTTTTACATAAAATATAGCATATGAATGAGCTATTGGGTCTTAAGAATAAATAGTGGGCAGATGCAGGGGTATTTTCGGGTTTCACATAAAACACAACATATGAATGAGCTATTGGGCTTAAGAATAAATAGTGGGCCAACTTGGGGCCTTGTCATGATAAATTTTACTTGAGGCTTAGTTATATTTCATATCTAATTTTGGGGCCTCATAATATTTTTCGTGGAAATCTTATATACTACTATAAAAGTGAGTTGGATGTTAAAACATTTTTTCTAAAAATATCCTCCAAAACACATACATGCATACATTTATAACATATCCATACATGCATACATTAATATATATAACCTCCCTATTTATTACCATCAACTTTTTATTTAACCACCCACTAATAACATTCCCCCACTAAGTCTTGATATTACACACTAATAATAAAAAATGTTACACCTATTCCTCTTCCATAAATCACTATAAATTGCTATAGAATGTTATCAAATTTCTCTAACCAAAATTCTAACTTTTAATTAAAAATTATTCAGATAGAAAAGTAAGGAGACACAACTATAATAGTTACAAACCACAAGAAGTGCGAGTGTGTCAATGGTAATATTACTAGTGGAGTACGATTGAATTGAATGAGAAGATGGTAATGGAAGCATCGGTGTAACAATTTAGAGAGCAGAGGAAATTGGTGAAGGTGACAAACAAGGTGGTCCTGTATTTTATCAAAATCTACAACTGTTTCAGTCATAAACTAATTGATTTTTCCCCCTTCCATCTTCGTATATGTTTTTGCCTTAGCGTGTAAATTGGTTTCCAGCTCCTATGTATGTTTATAAATATGTTAAATTGTTTGTATAGTCTGGTTGATTCTCTTAATGCACTGTGCTTATTCTCGGGATAAAGAAAGTTTTGTCCATGACAATCCATTATAAGTGTAATTGCTTTCACTCTATATGTGTAAAGGGTTAATTTTCGTTCTGTGGTCAAATATTGCTATTATTGAGTTATAAAGGACAAATAGAAAGTGCATGAAGATTAATTTAGAAAATAATATAGTTAGTTGGTCCTGAGAATGCTTATAGAAGGGATTACTACTATAATTTTAAGAGTATTATTTATTTTCTGCTATTAATTATTAGTTTTCTACTATTAATCTACTATTTGAGTATAATGGTTAATGTATGATAATTATAATATATATTAGTATCACATTAATATATAATATTTATATGAATTATTAAATATGCGCAATTATCAAATATAATATGAGTAAAAAGTTATTTATTTACCAATTCAAATATATAAATATATAATATAACATTTACAATTTACAAATAATATGAAAAGTCGTTAACTTTTCATTATTCCACCGTCTTCTTAACCATCATTCATTAAGGAATTCTTTTATGAAGGGTTACTCATTTCTCCATTAACCATTTGTACATTGCATCATCATAACAAATAGGAAAAATTGTACATAATTCCCTCTTCTATATTTTGAGTTGCACTAAATCTTCCTCAATATACTACCACTTAATACCCTTGAAATGCAATTTTAGAGATATAAATTATAAGTATGAAATATAAATTGGGGGACTCTAAGAGCTAATAATAAACTAGAGGAGGTTTAATAATTTCTAGAAAAATAATTTCAAAATGACATCCCTCTCTCTCTTGTAAATGTAGTAGAGCTTGCTGCTTTACAAGTAGTTTATATTTTATAACAGAAACATATGCAAGCTAATTTTCTATGCAGAGACTTATTGTTTCCAATAAAAATAACTTATTCATAACCTCCTACAAGTATACTCATTTAATCTTTATGCATTAAGTCTCATTTCATTGAATAAATATTAATTCTTTATTAATTACTATAATATCTTAATAACTATTCACTTTCTAACCTAATAGAACCAAAAGAGTTTTAAAAAATTGATTAACAAGCGTGCCTACGTGCAACACACGTCTTGCCCGACACTTGTTAATTATAAAAGTCCATACACTTAAAAATCAACTAAAATGTCCTCACATTGACCAAATGAAAAGCAATGCCCTCACTTTGGACAACTTTTCAAAACTAACCCTTTTCATGATTTAATTGCCAAAAACGATCCGTTTCTGTTTTATTTAGAGAAACCGACCTGGTTTCAGCACTGTCGCTGAAACCAGGTCGGTTTTTGAATGAGTTGAGGGGTGATTTACAAAATCACCCCCTCAACATAGCAGATAGAGGCTCGCCAAAAAGAGAGTTCGAGAGGAATCTCTCTCAAAAAGTTTGAAGTGTTTTTTTTTTCCCCAATTAAAATTAAAAGCACGTAAATTATGTTGCAGGTAAATAATTGCTATTCAAAACCAACTCATTTGATGTTTTAATTGCAAAAAACAACCCGTTTCTAATTTATTTAGAGAAACCGACCTGGTTTCAGCACTGTCGCTGAAACCAGGTCCTGTTTTATTTAGAGAAACCGACCTGGTTTCAGCACTGTCGCTGAAACCAGGTCGGTTTTTGAAAAAAAACTTTACGAAACTTCACGGGAGTTGAACTCCCGTGAAGTTTTTTTTTCATAACAAAACTTCACGGTCACGGGAGTTGAACTCCCATGAAGTTTGGGAAATTTTTTTTTCAAAAACCGACCCAGTTTCAACCAACTAGGTCGGTTTTTATAAATAAAATAGAAACGGATCGTTTTTTACAATTAAATCATGAAATAGGTCGGTTTTGAAAATTTGTCCCCTCACTTTCGAATCAAAGAAATGGCCCTAAACTTGAAAAACTTCAATTAAAAAAAAAGAAAAAGTGAAAAAAAAACTCAGCAAAAATACTAATAATCATATCTCCCAATTCCTTGGCAATTCTCCCTCATATTTTGCGTGCTGGTTCTATCAGAGTGCCATTGTCAAGTTTCCGATTGAGTAGCATATTGGGGTTCATAGGAGAAATTATCTGGAAAAAACCCGTATATTATCTTCAAATAAAGTAAAAAATAAAAATAAAAGACAGTAAATTGTCGCAGCGAATGGAGAGATCGCGCGGCGATCGTCTCCTCTCGATCCTCATCATCTTATCATTCTCTTCCCTCAAGATCTCTGCAATCAGGTAACTTTCTCTAAATGCCCCCAATTTTTTTTTTAGCCCAGCAGAATTCAATTTGAGCTTCAGTGAACCTTTGCCAATTTAATCTCGAACATGTAATATTAGAATCATTAGGGATTGAATCGGTAGCTGATGATAGTTAGTTAATCACAGCTCATACCTATCCAAGATCTGCACTCTGGAGGAATTAGGGTTTGCTGGATGTTGATTTGCTGATACTATCGACCCATAGGACTTTTCTCTGATCAATCAATAAGAGATTTTGATTATAAATTTCCTTTCTTTCAATGTATAACAGAGTTCTCATAAATTTATATGCGCATAATGTTATCTTGTATATTTTTCATGCATATTCAATACAATTTGGTTTTATACTAAGGAAATGGGTATGTTTGCGTGTTTGCTTAACAATGTTCTCACTGAAAGTTTTGTTGTTGCGTGTTTTACATACGAAAGGAAAATAACATAGGAAGAACTCAACTCACTGTAATACAAATCTAGTACAGTTTATGTGTAGTGCTTCTGAACTAGCTATAGTAAGTTGTTTGGATGATGTATTTATTGATTCTAATGATGGGTTATACTACATAGCTGCACCAAATAAACTTACAAAATTTGTTTTGTAACAGATAGGCTTTATCGTAAATCTATGTTTAGTCAGCGCTAATTTATGTCTAATTACACCTTGTTGCTTGTTCAATAGGTAATCAGCTTTATTTTGGCAATGACAAATTTGTCACACATAAAGGTTTATTATTGAATATTCGACCCTGCAGGAGGGACATTGGTCTTCCAGGCAAACTTGTATGCAGGAATACTGTTCAAGGGCGATATTTACTATCAGATGACAATGGTACAAAATCTTGCTTGTTTTCTCTATCTCTCTTCTGTCTTAAATTCCTATAAAATGTCCTGTCCAATGAGATGTGAATATATGGTAAAACTTTGGTATTTTGGTTCAGGGTAATTCCATGAGTTTCTGAACTGAATTAGTTTGAACTCTCTATGGGTATGATGCACTTTTCTAATAGTGCTAAGTTGTTGGCATATACACATTTGTAACTTGTGCATGATTGTGTACTTGCCCATTCCAAGTGCTTGGCATGTGCATTCATATGCATGCGGCTCACAAACTTGCATGCCTGTTGAAAGGAAGCAGTCTGCATGCTAAGTTGTTGCATATCCATATCTTCATCATTTCAATTGGCAAGATTTTTGTTTGCACTTTTGCTTATCAAATACTCATGAATCTTGCAGGTTATGTGTGTAGTGCTCTTTCGGTTGATACATCATCTCGATGTTGTCCAGAAAAAGGAGAGCGGTTTTCTTGTCAGTGAGTTCCTTGCTTGATTGACTGCTGATCAAAATAAAATGCAAACCATAGTTATTAATTGAGGTGCTTTGGACTTTTCTCCAGGGGATGCAACCTTGTTTCACAGTGCTGCAACTCATATGAATATTGTGTTTCTTGCTGCTTAAATCCAACTAGGGTACTTTTAACCAATGGAATCATAACCACTTATTCCTGTGCTTTCTTTTCTTTTCTTTGTTTTTATTTTAAAGGCTTGTCTATCTTTTGCAGACACAACAAGACCTTGCAATGAGGGTGAAGGTAGCAAAACCTGTAACTGCAGGTACCACTTTTGTAGGACACTAACTAAACTCTTTCCAATTATGAATTCATTTATATTTCTTTATACTTTTTCAGGAACCTATCGAAGCGTGTTTGATTTCTGTGCTGGAAGATGCCGTCATAATTCTGCAAGTGTGGTATATATTACTCCATGATTTTCCCTTTATTTGGAATAACTGCAGTCCCCTTGCAATTCTAATGGATGACAGTTAGATTATAACTTTTTCTTGCATGGTTACAGGGGCCCCTATGCGTCTACTTGTTAAATGTTTTTTTAAAATAGAACTCAAGATTCTAAATTTAGAGCATTGCTCAGTTGAGTTGAAGGGGACATATTTGATATGGGACTTTACATTAGAAAGTTTATCTTGGATGCCTGTAAAAAAGAATCTATCTTAATATGTGGGAAGTAATTTCCTGCAGAATGATTCCTATGAAGTGTCTAGTATCCCTGTCTCCTTGACACCGACTGTTTAGTGCTTGTCATGATTGCAACAACATTATCATAGAAATAACACACACTTTACTTCTTTTACCCATTAGTTTCCACTATTCATTCTTTTATTCTTAGATAGTTGAAAGTAACTTCGATCCTAAAGCAAGGTTGCTACCATTCCATTATCTTGAGTGTGCGCAGACGCATGCTGTCCCTGCTATTATATTTGCTCCTTATCTCCTCTCACTGCCATATTGTTGGGTCCACTTCCAGAAACGCAGTATGGAGTGGTTTCATAAACTGTGGAAACAAATGCTAGGTAGGCTCTAAGTGAATCGCTAATCTTTGGATGTAATTTTAACCAATCTGATCAAAAGTCTGCCAGATTAAACTAGCCTTATTAAAATCAAGTACTTTCATTTAATTCAGAATTGATCAGGTCACATCTGTGTGCATGTAAGGAATAGAGAGAAACTTTTGCCTGTACTTCATCCCAGGTGGCAGTATGTTTTACAAATCAAAGTTAGAAATATGAATAAAAACAACCTGCACTATCCTCACTCTTTCTTTAACCTGTTTTCATATATTTGCTTATGTTTAGGAAACAAACTCATTATTATCAAATTCAATGTTTCAGGTTCATGAGAACGCTTATGCGAGTGACTTCCATCACTGTTTTTCTCTGCAGTCAAATACTTCTGGTACCTTGTTTTACTTCCCTTCACATTTTTTATGATAAAGATCATTTGTAGCTTGTTAAAATTACTTGGAGTTTTGCAAGAGCTGTGATCATATTTATTTCCATCTTTTGTTTATATTTATATACCTATGAACAGTTTGTGTTGGTTATCCATACTTGCTGATACTTGTGGCTTGCTTATATGTTTGCTTCAGTATGCATCGCTTATTTTATTTGTCTTTGATTACAGCAGGGGTTGTTGAATCAAATTCCGAAGCAAAGTTGACAGGCATTGATGTCATCATTGGGAGGCAAGTTTCTCATCAGTCTTACGATGGTTTTAGTTTTAAATGGTGATGTAAATAGCTGTTGCTCACTGGAAATCGTTTGACATTGAATTAGGCGGGGAGAATCTTGTAATTCGGCATGCAAATCAAGGGGGCAATCCTGTGTCCCAAACAGGCTCTTTGTGCTAAATAATTGTGAATTGTAAGTCTTCAGTCGCTCAAACCTGTATGTTGTGTTTTGTTAATTGCTTCTATTAGGCTACTATGATTATATACTGTCAATAAATGGCAGAAATGTGCAGTTGGGAGTTGCTAGAGACAGATTGTGTAAAATAACTTATTTTAGCCATGCTGTTGGATGCATAGTAAATTTGAGTGTCTTCTGTTATCATTAACGTGCCTATAATACCATTAATAGATATATTTAGAGTACTTGCATATTCTTTTACCTTGCATGGACCTGGAAGCTTATCAGTCCTTGTATTCTTGAGATTTGGTAGCTCGCAATGAGTTTTAATTAAGTCAAGAGGGTGAAAAGCTGGGTCCAGTGGTATTTGACATACAGTGGCTTTCAGTGGTATCATATCCCAGGAAACTTAACTTTTCAATATATCACTAGATTAATTTCAAAAATTTCAATGCAATGATACTTGAGAATGAACAGTGCTATTGAAGCTTTTGTTGTTTTGCTCAATTTGTACAAACACCAAACCTGAAGTGACTGCAGCATGGTTGTTGCATATAGTATTTCATTTGCTAATATCTCAAATATACTAGAAAGGAGTGATACACCATTGTCAAAAGACTAATTTTAACTGAAGAACAAAAATCGGAAACCCAGTGAAAAGTTCCTATAAAATCATCAATGTTTTAAAAATAGGAGGGGGGGGGGGAACGGAGAGACCTAGAGAGGAGCATCATATATAGCATCGCGAATCATGATTCCAACTCAGTTCTTGTCTCACATATATTTATGTAATTTTCTTTAGTTTCCTGTGTACAGTTCTTTTTAATTTTCTGTGAGAATTGCTAGACATGTAGTACCTAGCATCTATTCCTAATATCACTGAATCTGTTGTTTCTTCAGATATCTTGCACATATAGCTGTTGACATGTAAAACAAAGTTTTTGTCCTGACTAGTCTGCAGAAATATATGAGATGCAAAGGTTCATGTTTTGCGAGCATAGGATCAGATCAACCTGCTGAAGTTGTTGATGATGCTCCGAAGAATGTGGTATGCTCTATATCCATATTATCTTTACTGAACTACCTTTTCCTCTCCAAAGTCTCGTTTGAAGCTCAAATCCGAGCACTGTTTTTTTGATTGTTCTAGATTTTAATTCATTACTTCAGAAGGTTTGCCATCTAACTTGGTAGAGAGTTTAGTAGTATCTTTAAATTATTGTGAAATTGTTACTGCAAGGTTGGGACAGGGTTTATTGAATGCATATGATACTGTGGTTTAGAGGATTGTTGTTCCGCTGTGAAATTTCTACTCCTTCGAACACAAGGAGAGAAAAGGAAGAAGAAAGTGGGTGGTTGGGTTATTCTCCATCTTGCATTTACCTTGATTTTCATTGCCATGTTCAGGCAATTCTTATGTCCTGACTTTAAGGTGAAAACTTATCTCTTGGATGAATAGGTCAACCTACCAAACAATGATTTTCCTGTCTCTCGGACTACTCCAGTTTTGCTTTTGCCAGATGCAGTTCAATTGATAAGTGATAACTAGCCAAGAGTAGAAGCAGTGGTTAGAACAATTGGTGGGCTAATTTTTTCCCTTTTTCTTGTCAGACACAAAGACTGCGCTTTTCTAAGATGTCCCTTCACTTAAATATCCGCTGGTTCGAGGCATGATTGAAGCTAGGGGTGTTTGGTTGTCTTCAAAATGGTTGAACTCCCAAACTGGAAAAATGTCCCCAAACATAAAGCTCTTCCTATGCTTGCTTTCTCTGCATTCTTACTTGATACCTCATCTCATCAATCTTCCTCTCCTTCCTTTACTTGCTTTTCAAATTTATAATTGGAAAAATGACTAGCTTCTTTTCTGAGTGAATTTATGGCTTTAATTTGCCATGCGTTTTACGTGAAAGCTGTTCAGCTCCAAATTATATGAGGATCAAAGAGGTCATAGCAAATATTGCATCACATTTTCTGAATAATCTCTGCTAACTATCTGCTACCCGACCCATCTTAGCTGTTGATTTAAGATCTCCCTCTTTCCTGTGATTTTAAATTCACAACTGTGAATCAACTCTGTTTGAGTTCCTATTTCTCTACTAAATGTGCAAGAAGTTGGCACACTTAGTTATCTTTCATGCAGGCAAGACAAATTGAAAAAGGAATGGCTTTCTTTCTTTCTGTCATATTTTCTGCTGCTTCACTCAAACCTCAGGTGATCCCTCGAAATACCAAACCCAATGAGTTTAACCAGATGTATACCACCATCCTTTGAGAAAGATCATTCATTTGCCACAGAGAAGAGAACCAAAATGACTCTCTTTCAAGTTATTTGTTTCATCTATTCAGTTCATTCATAAAACATCCTAAGATGACATTGTTCAAGCACATGCTAACTGACACAAATTTATACAAAAATTCTTACCATCTCTATGGAAAATCTAGGAAACACAACAATGAAGGTTCAAGGGTATTTGCATTGTCAGAGTGAGACAGAATACAAATTATAAAATGTCAAGTTTTTGATGATTAGTTGCAATAATTTATATACATGAAAAAGATGAAACCAAGTGAGAAACAATTCTTTTGGCTGGATTATGTAATATATAATGTATTTGATTTTACATAAGGTAATGTAAATTCGCATATGTATACTACTACATAATGGCAATAGTGGGGGTAGGCAAAAAATTGGGTGATAGCTGGACAATTTCTCCATTCCTATTGTATTTACAAGGATAATATCATAATTTTGTAGGAGCACTTTTTTCCTCTTTGTTTTCTCTAGAACTTCCTAAATTATTGACAAGGGTTTATTATTAAGTCACTAATAAAATATCTATTACATTACATATTATAAGAGATATAAATATGAGATGACAAAGTTATTTTCCAAAAAAAGGATATATCTTATACAATAAAAACTACAATTAGAATTTCAATATGTTCCAATGTAAATATTATCGAAAGTGTATATCTAGATACTTAGACTAAAAATAATCAAATAAATTAATTTGAAGAGAAAATATGGAAGGGAAAAAAGACTCTTCTAAATAACATTACCTAGGAAAACTTACATCATCGCTCAAATTGAAATATTTGTCTTAGTCAATTACAAATAATGTGAATAAACTGTAGCATATCAAATGTACAAACATCAAAAAAAGATCTTACAAAAAATAATGTTCCTTAGAGTATTAAAGTGACCCTTTTTATGTAAAAATTAGAATAGTTAAAGTTTTAATTTCTGTTTTACATGCATTTGCATGTGCAATAATGCTAGTAAAGGTATAAATTTACTGATAACTCTTAAGTAATGGCACAGAGTTTCCTGCCATAAGATACTGCAAACTGACCATGTTGCTTTTCCAACTCCTGCTGCAATAAGGTCCTAATAGTAATACTAGTACACCAGGAAGCTGAAAACTACAGTTGTCGAGAGAAAATTTTAGTAAGGATCCACTGGGATACAAAAAACTCCTTTTATATATTCTAATTATACATTACATTAAGTTTTGACATGTTGCGAACCCACAACAAGTTATCATGCCAGCATATGTTACAACCAAAAGAATTTAACCAGTCAAAGGTTTAGGCATTCCCAAAATCCAAATGATCACATCGAGGCGAGTCCAGGGAAAAAGAGAAATAAACACCTTCCAGTGTGATTTAGTTGATGAAGTGTGTGATGTTTTTATATCCAGATTCATTTTCTCCTTCTAAGGGGATACCTCATATCTTGGAACTTGAATCAGTCGTATCATCAGGGTTTCTATTGGTTATCTGTTCTATGTAACTCTCACGTACTATTTTTTGTAATATATGGAGCTGCAGTATCTTGTATATATGTTTTGTTGACTTATCAAAATATGTTCATGAGAGAAAATGCTGAGTTTTGTCTTCTTTATGGATTTCTAGAACCCAGGGGCATGCTTGTATACTCAGATAGAGGGCATGCTCTCGTGTGATGGCTCACATCATCATACTAAAAGACTCTGCCCATGCGCATGAGACTGTTAGTTTGTAAGTCTTTCTTCCATCTCTCGTTTCAATTGATTCCTTTTCTATCATTTGTACTTCCACATACTCAGATGTGCATATGCTCGTAAAGATTCACTATTATTTATCATCTGGGGCTCTAGTAAAAGAGGGAAAAAGTGCTATAAATTTACAAGAAGTAACATATGATATTCTGCAGATATCAACTTTGTTTCCATGGCATGCATATTTATTCTCAGAGTGTCGTTTCTTAACAGATAATTTGTTCTCTGGTTGCAGGTTATCTTTTTACTCAAGTATCACAGAATTGTAGTTGAAGAACATAAACTTGGATTAAACATCTTCACAGCGAATTAGTTTCATGAGCATACTGTACAAAACTCTTTTGGGACCTCCACTATCGCATCTTTTGTTCGACTGAAATGTATATTGGCAGCAGCTGCTCACTCAGTAAATATTTAGGAATTTATCAACAGTGAGATACCAATTAGGAAGTAATTTTGAGTTCGCTAATTGTACTTACGTTGTAACATGAGCTGTTCTTGACCAGTTTGCAATCTCATATACTAACAATGTGGGATACTTGTTTGCCTATTGGTAGAAAAGAACTTTCTTTTTTTATACCATCAAAGTCATAAATTAGTGTGTGCTCCTTCTGTTTTCATTTTCATGGTGATAAAAGTTGTCCACTGAACTTGTATTATTATTATTTTTTTTCTTTTTAACAATGTCTTTGGAACACAGACTGTCTCTGACATCTTATTTAACTTTAGGGAGAAAGAAAAATGCATGTAGAACTTTCAAGCGGTGTATGTTGCTCAAAGGGCCTATCAGGTATTTTAAGACTACTACTTTATTTTGTGTCTAATTCTTTGCAGGAAACGCATCAGTGCATAAACTTTGACAGGTCTGTTTTCTTACCGAACATAAAGCATTTTCATTTTCCTTTCAGTTATATTATACTCATATGCTAGAACAACGCTCCTTAAACCAAAACAAATAAGCACACACAACTTCAAACAAAACTCAAATCTCTCAAAATGAGTAATCAGTCTTCAATGTCCTGTTCCCTCCCATTAACTTTGGCTTCTCCTTCTTCATCTCCTCACCATCGCTCTCCTCCCCTTCCTCCTCCTCTCCCTCCTCTGCAAACGCCGGATGCGTAAAAATACTTGCCAGCAACTGCGTCCCCCTCAGCGCATTCGTCAGCGGCAGATGCCCCTCGGGCGTGTCGTCCCTCAGCTCCCACGTGAACTCCGTCGGGAAACTCCTGTAATTCCACTGCTCAACCTCTGTGTCGAGCTTCTTCATCCACCCGACCCTGATGAAGAACCTTGTGAAGTCCCTCCTCGCCTTCTTCTCCCATACCCTCTTCTGCACGCTGTACCCGAACTTCCCGTCGCTGTGGGCTAACCAGAGGCTGTCGATGGCGCGGAGGTCGGAGGGGTCGATGAATTTGGACGCTCGGCAGAAGAAGACGTAGCCGCGCTTCTTGGCGGAGTCGCCCGCGAGGGCGATTGAGAGGCGGCGGTTTCTTCGTCTGCCCTTGCGGTAGTCCGCAGCAGCGAGGTGGCGGCAAGCTCGTCGAAGGAGGAGGATGATGAAGCGGTGGAGCTTGTTTGTTGGGGTGAGAAGGGAGAATGTTATAGTGCTAGTGAGAGATGAGGATGAAGAGGATGAGGAGAGATTGAGTGAGAGCCTCCGAGGGGACAATGGATTGTGGTGGTGTGTGGTGGTGAGGGTGAAGGCTTGGTGGAGGGAGTTGAGAGAGTGAAGTGGTGGTTGTGGAGGCCATTGGAGCTTGCTTGAGAGGGAAGAGGGAGAGTGGGGGGATAAGAAATGAATGGGATGGAGGGAGGGAGGGGGAGGGAGGGAAAGAGAGGAAGATTGGGTTGGGGGGGGTGTGTGGGGGGGGGGGGTGTGAAGATATTGGACAAGCGGAGGGAGGGTTGTGATTGTTGGGGAGGGTGAGGTGGGATTTTTCTGGATGTAAATGTTAGTGGGGGGTGCCACGTAGGATGTCCGTGTGTGGAAGATTGATTGGTCTCGGAGCCTCGGGTTTGAATTCATGGATTCTTGAGGGATGCATTTGGGCTCGTGGGGACCAAGAAAAATTGGGGTTCAGATCCCTGTTGCACGTACAGAGGCTGAAAACTTCCGAACTAGCGTGGTCATGTTTGCGCTACTTGTAAGCATCATTAGACTAAGAGCAAGTGCATCAAGCTCCAAAGTTGGGAGTCCTAGTCAGCAAGCTTTCAATAGCTCTTAAGCATTTTAGAATAAAAAATTAAAAAAATAAGCCTTGGGAGACCCTCCTTCTTTTATGGAGCTCCAACAAGCTCATAGTTAGGAGTTTCAACAATATCAAAAAAACCATTCTTCTATTTTAATATTTTACCCATTACTTTCAATTATATTTAAACCTCTTGTATTTCATTTCTAACCGTTGGATACGGCCTTCGATGGAGTGCACACGGTCTTCGAGGTAACCCGCGGTCTTCGAGGGAGCGCGCACGGTCTTCGAGGTTGGGCCCGAAGTTCGAGATATCGCAAACTTTGACCGTCAACCGACTGATTCCTATAAAATTCGATAGCTTCTCTCCTCAACCCATCATCTCCCAGAACAAAATGTCTAGCTCATCTAACTCTAGCGATGATTAAATGATGAAGACGTTCTTTCTTATGGAAGCTGCCGTCGTTGAGGAAGAAGAACAAGAGAAATGTAAAACGGTCTGTTTAGGAGATTGCTGGAGGGTATGCAGCAGGCTCCCACCGCCACATAAGCCTTGAGAGCAGGCTGTGGGAGCTTGCTGCCCTTGCTCTAATGTGTATTAGCTATAAAGACGACCCTATGTAGAAAATAAAAGAAGAATGTACCGTGACCACCCTTACTTTTAAATGGATACGGAAACTCCGTATAAGTATAAAAATCCAGTGCAACCAATAAAAATCAAGCGTAACTCATTAAAATATCGTATTTTTAACGAGGGCTCAAGAGCACTCGTGAGGAATTGAAGATAGAGATGCATAGAGGTTAGGAGAGGAGGGTGAATAAGTAGGAAACATAAGGAAATCGCAAGTTGAGATTACTATGCCTACACCCAAACCCTTATTGGTTTTATGACGCTCCGTCTAATTGGAGATAATTAATTTTGATCATATCATATCCTCCACATACCATGTGAGGGGATATCGATCGGATATTCCATCTCTCTAGTTGAGAACTTTCATAACTTGCCAGATTTACACATACATTGGATATACAATCTTACGCCAATGAAGTCCTACTACGTGGATCTATTTGCAAGGCAAGTAACTACCATCACAACCTCGATCGTAAGGATGGTAATGCTTGTAGAGGCTGACTTTGTTGGATTTAAATCTAATTAAATCTATTTGTAGGCACATATGATTAATCTGTGTGTATTGCTATTTTTCAGGATAACACACTAAAGTGATCAATTAATTTGGGTTAATGGGTATTTAAATAAATTATGGGGTTATATGTGCAGATACTAGGTTGTAATTGTAATTTGATGAGGGGCCAAATTATAAATGTACAACACCTATATATATGGGGTTATGGGGTTGTAATTGTAATTTGATGAGGGGCCAAATTATAAATGTACAACACCTATATATATGGGGTTATGGTCCCTAATCTAGGGTTAGCCACTCTCATTCTCTTATCCTCATCTAAAGAGATCTTAAGGAGAGAAACCCTAAGATTAGAAGATCCAAAACCTAACTCAAGTTCAATCTATGGATTCAGGTATAAGCTTCCGCTTTTAATGTTTAATCTCTATGATTTAATCATGTTTAGATCTAACAAGTGGTATCAGAGCCATCAGTGATTAATTCTTAGGGGTTTAAGTTCTTAAAAATTGGGTTTTTCTTATCTTAAAATCTGATTTTTTTTTCTCAGAACTGTTCGCGGATGAACAGTAAATTTTTGTGAACAGTAAAGTTTTTAATTTTTGTTGGTTTTTCCTTCGATTTTTTTTCTTTTTGTGGGATCTGGATCAAGAAGTTATCTTTCGATTCTGGATCTGATTTTGAAATAAAATCGAGGAATTTTTTGGATCTATTTTGTTTGGTCGTCGATCCCGTGCTCCTCACCGGCGAAGTATCGCTGGCGGCCTCGTCTTCGACTCTGACGGCGACGGCGGCGTCAGGAAACCCTAGGGTTTCGACCTTGGGTGCAGGAGCAAGGCGGCGGCAGTTTCAGAATGAAACCCTAAGGGTTCGTGTGTGAAAACGTGCGGGAATTAAGGAGGTGGTTACCTTAATTTTTGGCGAGGCTTGAAAGCTTCAAACGAACTTCGCGTTTGTTCTAAGGTAAGCCTCACGCTCAATTCAAACGAACTTCGCATTCGTTCTCAGGTGAGCCTCGCGCTCAATTCAAGTCGAACCTCGCGTTCATTCTTAAGTCGAACTCCGTGTTCATCCTCAGGCGAGCCCTATGCTCAATCCAAATGAACCTCGCGTTTGTTCTCAAGTTGAACATCGTGTTCATTCTCAGGTCGAACCTCGCGTTCGTTCTCAAGTTGAACATCACGTCATTCTCAGGTCGAACCTCGCGTTCGTTCTCAAGTTGAACATCGCGTTCATTCTCAGGTCGAACTTCGCGTTCATTTTCAAAACGAATCTTACGTTCGTTCTCAAGTTGAACATCACGTTCATTTTTCAAACGAACCTCGCGTTCGTTCTTAGGTGAGTCTTGTACTCAATACAAACGAACCTCGCGTTCGAAGTTAAGAGAACTTCGTGTTCACTATGGTTAAGCCTCGGTTTTTCATATTAAATTATGGGGTCCACTTTGGTATACTTAATTTATTCAATTAAGTTATGGGCCCTAATTAAGCTATGGAAAATTCTTCTAATTCAAATTAAAGTTGTTTAATTTGAATTAATTTTGGTAGTTAATCAATTATTCAAATAATATGACGCTAAGATATTAAGTTGTCTCTCATTCCAAATGACTAATTGAAACAAGATGTTGCCAAATTAACCTCTCTTGTGTAGATTGTTCATGAGGGATGCCAGATGTTTGTGTGTATGTTTTCGTGTAAATATTTAATCGGCCCAAAGGAAGGTTAATATTTATTTAGACTGCATACACATCTGTGATGATAAACATGTGATAATTATAAGGTTTACATGTGGATAGTTAATCGATCCAAAGATAGTTTCATTATTTGACATGTATTATTGTCAGTGTTTGATTGTTGCAACAAGATATCACTTGCAATTAATATTACTGTCCAAAGACTTGATATTAATGTTGTACCAGATATCTTGGATGAGATTTGTCATTATTTGAATTTTATTGATTACTAATTATGGTTATTAATGTGAGCATTTTTTGTTTTTCAGCTAATGCATCTGCTGCAACAATTCCTGCTAACATCAACTCAATTCCTATGCTAAATGAGACAAAATTTAAGGTTTGGAAAGAGAACATATAAATTGTTCTTGGCTGCATGGATCTAGATCTTGCATTAAGAACTGAACAACCTCAACATCTCAATGCGGATAGCACTCCTGATGTAAAGAAGGAGTATGAGAAGTGGGAGCGTTCAAATCGCATGTGTCTTATGATCATTAAGCGTGGTGTTCTGGAAGCCTTCAGGGGCATAGAATCCGAAAAGATTACTAAGGCTAAAGATTTCCTTGCCGAAATTGAGAAACGTTTTGTGCAAAACGATAAGGTAGAAACAAGCACGCTTTTAGCTTGCTTGATTTCAATGAAGTATAAGGGCAAAGGAAATATCAGAGAGTACATTATGAAAATATCTCATATTGCTTCAAAACTTAAGGCACTTAAACTCGATCTTTGTGATGAGTTATTGGTGCATCTGACTTTATTGTCTCTTCCTGCACAGTTCAGTCAGTTCAAGGTCAGTTGTAACTGCCAAAAGGAGAAATGGACTCTAAATGAGCTCATTTCATACTATGTGCAAGAAGAAGACAGGTTGAAGCAAGATAAGATAGAAAATGCACATTTGGCTTATGCCTCTAAGGATAAGAGCAAGAAAAGAAAGAATGATAATGAAGCTGCTAAGGGTCCAGTTCAGAAGAAACAACATAAGGATAATCAGGGTTGTTTCTTCTGTAACAAGCCTGGACATGTAAAGAAGGATTGTACCAAATATCACGTCTGGCGTGCTAATAAGGGTACGTTCCTTACTTTGGTCTGTTCTGAGGTTAATTTAGCTTCAGTACCTAGAAACACTTGGTGGTTAGACTCTGGTGCTACTACTCACATAAGTGTTTCTATGCAGGGTTGCCTGAGCTACCGAAAGCCAAGTGATGTTAAAAGACACATATTTGTGGGCGACGAATAATCGGTAGATGTGGAAGCAATTGGGCACTTTAGGTTGCTATTAGGAACTGGTTCTTATTTGGATTTGAAAGATACTTTTGTAGTACCGTCTTTTAGACGGATTTGATTTTAGTTTTTGTATTGGACAAATCATGTTATTCTTGTTCATTTGGAAACAATCAATTCAGTTTATCTTTTAATTCAAATATTGTGGGAACTGGTTACTTGAGTACTTATGACAACTTATATTTGCTTGATATAATTGCTTCTTATAATGAAACTTTGTATGCGGAATCGCGTGGTACTAAGCGTAAATTAAATAAGGAAAATTCAGCAACATTATGGCATAAGTGCTTGGGTCATATCTCAAAAGGTAGAGTTGAGTGTCTCGTGTCTGATGGCATTTTGGATTCCCTTGATTTTTCGGACTTCGACATATGTGTTGAATGTATCAAGAAAAAACAGACCAAAGTTAAGAGATTAGGTGCCAACAGATCTTCGGATGTCTTAGAATTGATACATACGGATATTTGTGGGCCATTCCCTATGGCATCCTGGAATGGTCAACAATATTTTATAGCATTCATAGACGATTACTCACGTTATGGGTACCTATATCTTATTCATGAAAAATCTGAGTCTCTGGACATGTTCAAAGCCTATAAAGCTGAAGTTGAGAATCAACTCAACAGAAGAATTAAAACCGTTAGATCTGATCGTGGTGGTGAGTACTACGGCAGATATG